GCTAAAATCTGTATTGTTCCTTGACCTCGACCATGAATCGCCAATCAATCCAGGGTTTCGGAAACACCCTGGGCCGAGAATAAGAAATTCTGTCATATCCAGACTATTTACCAACTGCAAGAAGTAACCCTCTACGACAGAAAACCATGGTCAATCTGAATTTCGGACAAACTTGCAGCTCTTAAAAAATCGATATAAGAATTTATTAAATATTAATGAACCTATAGACAGAAGACTTATCCACAGCTTCGTGTAGATAACGATGACTTCAGAAGCGAGAGCCATTTGAAATCTCCTACGATACGGTATCATTAGAAGATTTTAAAATTCTATTAAAGCTATTTACTACCTTGCATATAATAATGAATCATCATAGCTACGGACTGAATAATAACGTTCTGACGAGAGGCAGGCAAGGCAGGAAACTTGTTTCGTGTCTTGCGTATGACCGATCACTCAATACCGTGCACATGGTAAAATGAAAGACTTTCCCAAAAGCCAGCATCAGTAAGCTGTGCTCCTGATTAATCCAAAAGCCACCCACTATGATGTTTCAAATCACCTGTTTGGCTGTGGCCATGTGACAATCACAGGGAAATAGGTCCGTCATTACTAACCAGTTTTGCAGGCCTAAGTTTGTTCGCGACCGAAGTCAACATAGCGGAAGGCACTGGAAAACATCATTTCATGTTGGCCCTGAGAAAGCAAAGTCGTACTGCCACAGCATAAAAGTGGCATTAGTTCAGACACCGCGATGGCGCTGCAGCAATCACCGAATACAGCGAGAACAAACAGAGGAACTGGAAAACAGTGTCATCGCTCTACTCTACAAGATCAAGAAGTACAGCTTAGACTCTCAGTAAACTGGTACAATGGAGCCGACTTGCTACAATCATTTCAGATAAACCATAATATATGAACTGGAGATAGTTTTCAAGTCCGTGCAAACGTAGATAAAAGCATAGGGATAATGGTCTACAAACAGCCTTATGACGACCTGCACTTCTACCATCTTAATCATCTTCATCCCATACACTTATGAAGAAGTTGAAAGAGTTCCTGAATTCGACCTCAACCGAAAGCTAAACGTGGCTGGCAGGTCACTGCAGTAACAAACGAAGGTAGCAGAGAGATCGCTCTCGTGAAATCTGCAAATGAAGCCAGGTCTAAACTTGTCTAAGAGGAGCATACTTGAAGGACATACGAAATTATTTGGAACTCGCCTAGAACTCGACATAAGAAATCATATAGGCGTGGTGTGGGTCGAGAAAAAATCGATACTGAGTTCGATCATGTACAAAGGTGATTTTCTATATTTACAACTAATGTTTTTGCAGTGGCGACTGTAGGGTGATGACATTTGTTGCGGTTGGCACAAAGGAGTGACACAACGACAAGGTTGTGATATTTGCCGTCAACGCATAACTGTTCATTAAAATTCAAATATTTCATTTGGCCATTCGACGATGAAACAAATTGCATCTGCATTAAGGCAAATAGTTGCCCATTCATTTATCCCACTATCAGGCTTTATAAACTGCGTAGGTTGCCGAGGAAGGAGGCGTGGTAAGAAATGACTTACTTTCGGCACATCATGTCCAGTTCAGTGGTAGACATTCCGGGAGAATCACACTCACAGTGACGGCCAACTTTGCCCCCGTGGCAGACGCATATGCCGCAAACAACGTCTCCAGCCTTGTTGCACGATTCAGCCGCAATCTGTTCCGGCTAAATAGAAAAAGAGCATTGAGAACATGAAGCCATGTGATACCGAAGTACAACAGAATCATAAAATACACTACTACCTCAGTTAAGTATAAGCAGTATGAAGAAACTAGGCCAGATTGGTGCCATCAATCCAAGCGAAACTTATGTTCAAGTTCAGCTTAAAGCGATGACAATGGAAGCACGCGCAAAAGGCAATGGAAAAAAGCATCACTTTGCAGCCCAACGAAAAAAGAAACGAATATTTTATGTTAAGAGTATAACTTCGCCATAACCCGAGACAACGATCTATTACAAAGGTGATGCAGATTTGCTAAAACTGCCTCTTGGTTTTGCACCCGCGTCCATTGTTCGTATAGCTAGGTGGATGGCACCAATCCGGATCACACTGAGATGCCATCTCTGATCCCTTTCTGATCACGTACGTCAGATGGTTCACTGTAACGTCCATGCTTACGGTTGCACCGGTCAAATCTTTAACACGTTCCAAAAATGCCCGGCAGCATCGTACACAGATTTCAGGTGGTCGGAAAAGACAAAAGGAGCATCAGAGTTTTGGGATTTTAAGAGAGTCGAATCATTCAGAATCAAAAATTTAGAAACCGCAAGTCAGTCGTAGAAAAGGTCATAAGCAACTGTGTTTAGCTTTCCGTCACCAATCATGATTCGGATCGTCACCTCCCATGGTTCGCTGATGGTTAGCTGATCATGCAAACAATCTGCACAACGAAAAAATCTAAAAACGGAATGGTTTAAAATGACTCTCAAAGCCAAGTACGGTAAGGGGCTGTCATTAAGCCTTATGTAAATCCGTTACTTTAACGTGCTACAGTAAGATGAAAGAATGTGACGGGCTTAGGTGGCAACTCTGGTTAAGGGAGGGGGATCTCCTTTGATATAAATCTGTTCTTGAGAATTCTAATTATGTTCCACATAAATGCTCAAAGTCAATGAAAGAAAAGTGTCAGCGCTGGGAAGTCGGTGTGCGGCACCAGGAGTCATCTTCCGAGCAGTGAGACAAGGAGCATAAACGCAGTATATTTGCCATTTACTTGGAGCTTCGCGGTCGAACACGCACAATCGCAAAGCACATGTAGACGAATGACCAAAACGTCCGATAACCCCGAGGGTCCGATTTTGATTTCGAAGTCTCGCTGATCAGTGCAGTGAGTGACCTCGAGCG